CCATGTTTGATTTCATTCTAAAGTTCCCATAAATATTGCTGAGAAAAAATATGCCCACATATGCATAAGGGATACTGTTTTGTATTAGTACGTTCTTGAGAAGTAAATCCTTTTCTTCATCTTGATTGAAGGATACATGTATCACTATGAAGTAATATTAGAATTACTTTTGTTTTTCTCAAATTAAACCAAAGAGCATCATGCACTAAAAATTCAGGTCATAGCTGTAGTCATGCATGAAAATTGAGAATATGAGCATAGCTATTAGCAAATCTATGAAACATTTGGTCTGAACCTTGGAACACTGTGTTCCTGTGAATAAAGAACATGTGGTGTATTATAAATATTGTTGTTTTTCAGTTGTTGTTCCTTCTTTCACTATCTCTAAAGTTGGCACAAAGGTTTTAGAACTCTGTGCATTTAAGAAAAAAAAGTATTTTTCATGGACAAAGGTTCACTGAATTCAGTGAATGCCCATATTTACTAGCGAAAAATGGTGACAGCTGTATTTAGTGTTTTACTTGTTATATTATCCTCAGTGGCTATATAATAAAAGATCTGTCATACTGTGAATGTCGTGCCTTTTTGGCATGTCTAGTTCATTCTACAGTTTTTATTCAGAGGATATTTTTTGCTGAAGAATAGAATCTACATTGCTCTAAATAAAAATATGCTATGCAAAAGACGGATTTATCCAAACTAGCTGCTCCCAGTGTGCTCCAGCAACGTTACTCTTGAGCAAAGAGTATTACTGACAGTGTGAATGTAAGCCCATCAATACATTGGAGATTTGCAAAGATCCATCCATTATCATCAAAACCTGGATCTTAGGCAAGTCAGTGCTCCCTAAGAAATGAAAAGAGACTTAATTTGGGAATGGGTGGTGGGATGTTTGTGTCAATGTCACTTTAGCCTAGGTTCCCAGAGGCTTCCCCCCTGAGCAATGGAGAGGGACAGACACAGGCTCCTCCAATATGTGAGTCACAGCTCCTAAGATAAGATTCTGCTTTGAATTTTTTTCAGGATTTCCGCTCCAGAAACTATGGAGGGGACCAATGCTAACTTCCCACAACCAAATTGGGTACTGACAGTACAAATATCATTTTAAGGTTCCTCTGCAGATTTGTGACCCCCTGTACTAATTAGCAGGGGATGCAATGACTGTTCTACCCTCAGCCTGCAGTGCAGAACACTCACCTACTCAATTTGGAAGTTCACTACTACAGATAATGGACTTTGAGCATTTTCATAATATTAATAAAACTACATCTATATATGTGTATCTGTACATGCATCTATTTAGAAGAATGCAAAAATCTCCAAACAAAAGAACCAGAAATATCCCTGGACCATTAAAGCTGCCTTTTGGTGGTTTTCCCTTTCTCTAGTTCTCAAATGTCTGCAGAATCAAACACAATATTTAATTCTACCATGTGGTGTATTAGGTTAAAATAAAATATTAGTAAATTAAGATTCTTCAAATTCGTAAGATATTGGTAAGACCAAATGTCCACTCACAGCAATCATGCCATTTCACATAGCCTGTACTGCTCAATATATTAAATAACAGATAGACAGATACATAGATAGATTGATCAATAGACAGATGAGTATGTGTGTAGACAGACACAGACATCAATGTAGAGATGCATTTGCAAAAAAACCCCAGTATACAAAACCTACACGCATCTAACATGAAGTGTAAGATTAGTTTAAGACTACAGGCAGATAACGATACATTGCAACTTCTGTTCTGACTTACCATCTTCATCAGTCAGTATATGCAGAGGTGAACTACGAAGGCCCTCCCCCACTTTCGTACTAGCAGACACTCCTACAGTATATTCTGTATATTTCTTTAAATCTAAATTAAAAAAAAAAAAGAATTCAATAAACCAATCATTCAGTGGGCCAAATTAGGTTTTTTAATGGATCATAAGTAGTTTTGAAGTGCTGAATAGACTCATCACTTACACTGATCTGTGTCTTTAGAGACTGAAATAAGCATTGGGAAAACTTGAACACAAAGTATTCTGCATGAATAAATGAAGGGGAAAAGCCCTAATTACCAGTTTACACTTCATATTCCTAGAATGCTTTAGTTTGTCCTTGGCTGTATTCTGAAAATTTAAGGCACTGAGCTCCCATTACTGCTGTGTCATTGACACATTAACATTAACTGCTGTGTCATGCCTCAGTTATAATGACAGATCACAGCAAAAGACGCAAAGGTGAGTGGAACGGGAAGTATTTATTTTTATGCAGAATAAGATCAGAAATATATGTAGGTGACTTTAGTGTTTAATTGTTACAATGACAGATATGCAAAGAAATCTATTGAAGTTCCTTGTGCTTTAAACATCTAAAATACAATGAGATATATGTTAGAGTCTATAGCATTTGTGGACCATTCCACCACATTACAGCAGGGCACAACAGGCTATTTCTCAAGATAGCTAGCATATAACCTTATATAAGGACAAGGAGGATCATGTCCAACCAATGAAATAATTGATCTGAATCAGTCTGATCCCTTCTCGGAACAATTTACAGTTGCCATAAGTTCCAGTTCATTATATACTGGCCTGTAATATGTAGTGTCAGAAAAGTGCTGTTTATGACTCTTTCCTCAGTTCCATTAATCCTCTTGAGATATACTGTGTAGGTCTGTATGATTCCATTGGGAATGGATGGTGGAAAAAACGATAATTCAATTTCCCTGGATGAGATGTTCTTATAGGTTATGTTTTCTGGTGCAGAATCAGGAACTAGAAGACAAAATTTAGACTCATAGAAGATTTCAGTCAGTTTCACTGATCTGTTAACCATTTTCTTAAAGTAGTTTAAAAGAAAAATTGTAAACACATGTAATTAATGCAAACATTAAATTGTAAACATTTAGATTTTTATCATATTTTTTGGACAAAATAAATTTTAAAAGAGGCTGAATTGGAAGATCAAAAACACATGGCAGACACACACTGTAACAACAAGGTACAGGTCAATTTTTTTAAAAAATAAAATTGATGGAAATCATCTTAACATACCAGAAAAAAAAATCCGGAGCATGACACTAAACTTTCCTTCTAACACCCCATAACTATCACCACAAACCTCCAAGTAAGCTATTGTTAGATCTTCCATGTTGGGCTGCCATAATTTACGCTTTGTATTAGCAACCTGCATTTTCTTCCTTCTCCCTGGGTGAGCTATACAAACTGTACTCCTATGGAAAAACAAAGGGAGCCTCCCTGCATTGCTCTAAGTGCCCTGAGAGCATCTCCCCTCCTGGAGGTCTGGCTGCTGGGGCTCAGGGCCAGCTCAGCAATAGTGTAGCTATGGCCTGGTGACACGCTCCCAGGCAGCGCTGCCATGAGGCTGCAGCCAGGGCTGACCGCTGGCCCCTGGGAGCTGCTTTCAGCTGCGGCTTTTGTGCTTTGCCCTGGCTGAGCTACAGCTCCCGCTGCATCGCTGCCATGGCTGTGCTTGGCCGTGGACCTACTGATCTAGCCCGACATGCAGACTGATGTCACAGCCTGAGGTCACTCTGAGGACCTGCCCAGCTGTCACTGGGCCATGTCTGACTTGGTTAGTGTCACTGAACCTGCTAACTCACTTTCCTGGCTTCACCTCAGACCTGCATCACCAATGTGGAGGGTTTGGCAATCTGGACTCAGGGCTGCCCCTGGCTGCGACCCCAAGACCTGCCCTGCTCCCTTCACTGCGGGTTTGTGGGACAAGTCCTGGCTAGTGAGGTCTATGCACTGCTGGCCCAGGGATCCCCTTGGCTCTTGGCTCCCCGTCCATTAGAGAGCAGCTGGCCCTTGCTGCGTCATGATAAATGGGTTTTGTGTGCATGTGTCTGTCTGTCTGTCTCTCCCCAAGCAAATCCACAAGTATGATTTCCTTTACCCAAAATTGGACTTAATATATCTTATTCCAGAAAATCATAATCATACAATGACCACACAATTTGTCCAAAAGGTCAGGTAAGGCATGGACAAGTTTTTAGGATGCCATAACATTCTTATAAATATACTGACACTTAATGAAACTCTGCATTCAAAAGGCTAAGTAATTTCTGCTTAAGCAATATCCAGAAAGGGGATAAATGCTAAGAAAGGCAGTGAAATCAGCTCACAGTTCTGCCTAATTTCATGGTAGAATGGTAACAGAGAATTCCCAAGAGCTCTTCAAACACACCAGCCCATTAATGGGTCGTGTTTCACTCAAAATGCTCTATTCTCCAGATTCTCCCTTGGTTTTATTCTTCTCATCTCAGAAGATGTTTTTGCAGCTTCTCATCTCTATCACAGGCAGCTGGAATTCAAATTTTTGTTCTGAGCATCAGGGGATTTAGGCACTGAGAAAGAACTAACTGTTTTAAAAGGCAACTTAGACAAAAGATGAATGCCTAAGTTAAAGAGAGCAATAAAAAAGGTTATGTCTAAGGACACTGTATCAGTTGTGCAGGTGGCTTCATACCTATGGTATCTGATGAAAAAAAATCTTCAGAAGTAGCACAATGTCTTGGCAGAGCTAGCTTGGCACTTCTATTATGACTGATGTTCTGAAAACTAGGTGTTTGCAACCCCGTTCCTTAAGAGCTTGACTTAGAATCATAGAATTTTTTCGGTTGGAAGGGACCTTTAAAGGTCATCTAGTCCACCCCCCTTGCAATGAGCAGGGACATCTTTAGCTAGAATAGGTTCCTCAGAGCCCTGTCCAACCTGACCTTGAATGTTTCCAGCGATGGGGCTTCTACCACCTCTCTGGCCAATCTGTGCCAGTGTTTCACTACCCTTATTGTAGAAACTTCTTCCTTATATCTAGTCTAAATCTACCCTCTTCTAGTTTAAAACCATTGTTCCTCAACCTATCGCAACAGGCTCTGCTAAAAAGATTGCTCCCATCTTTCTTATAGGCCCCCTTTAAGTACGTAAAGGCTGCAATGAGGTCTCCTGGGAGCCTTCTTTTCTCCAGGCTGAACAACGCCAACTCTCACAGCCTTTCTTCATAGGAGAGGTGCTCCAGTCCCCTGATCATTTTTGTGGCCCTCCTCTGGACCTGCTCCAACAGGCCCATGTCTTGCTTGTGCTGAAGATTCCAGAGCTGGACACAGTGCTCCAGGCTGGGGTCTCACTAGAGCAGAGCAGAGGGGGAGAATCACCTCCCTAGAACTGCTGGCCACACTTCTTTTGATGCAGCCCAGGATACGCTTGAACTTTTGGGCAGCGAACACACATTGCCAGCTCATGTCCAGCTTTTCATCCACCAGTACCCCCAAGTCCTTCTCCGTAGAGCTTCTCTTAATAAGCTGACTTGTTAGGCAGGCCTAGACCACAACTACTTAACACAGGAAAAAATCAAAGTTCATTTCAGAAACAAGGAGGAGAAGGAGCTCATAGTGATTACACTGTGTCTTAACAATCAAGGAGCCAGACCATCTCCCTGCTCCTTCTGAGAGACATGAGTATGTGCATTTCATTCCTCACTGAGAAAAATGTGATAAACAGAACACACTTAGTTCCAAGGCTAGCTCTAGGTATAGATAAAGTAGCCAGTTGTCTGAGGTAGCAAATTGGTGAAGATAGCAAAAGGCCCCCAACAAAGGATGATCATCATACCAGTGCTACCTGTATATGGCTGAGTCCTAAATGAAGCGAACCTTCATGTCTGCCTCCCCAGCCACCTTTTATTCCTGAGTCTACAGCTTAACCCAAAAATCTATTCCTCCATGTAAACCACTACCCTCAGTTTTTTCTCCAATACCTGTCCTGTTTAGCTCTACCGAAAATTTAATGACTCTGCCAATATTTTATATTTCTTTCCCTCCCTTGTCCTACCTTACAGATACTTACTCATTTCAAGACTCTTCCTATGCCTTATTACAACTCCTTAATGTTCATCTTCCCAATCCTCACTTTTAAATTTAATTTCCTTTCTTGGAAAAACTTCATCTACTCTAATCCTCTGCTATTTTGTCTTATCTGTACTTTCTCCAAAATATTTCTTGTAACATAAACAACTTTGCCTACTGCAAAATAGCACTCAGCTGTGAATTCTGATTGTTTTTTAACCATTAGGATTGAATTCTTATAAAACTCCAGTTCGTAACTTGAATTCCAAATTGCACTCACTTTTTGAAAGCCCTGCTTTCCTACAAAAAATTATTTTCCTGCAAGCCACAAGGAACCTTCAAGGACAAACAGTGAAATACATCAAGTCCATCAGGCATAAAACTTCCCACTGTTTTCTTTACTTCTTAATCTTCCTTATTATTTCCTTACTTTTGCTTCGTATATAAAAGAGAAATCAGGGTTCAGACTTACTGCTTTGCAAAGTAAACATATACTTTTAAAATTATTTAAACTGATCTCCTGGGCATCAAAGGCCACCATAAAGCAGTTGAATGTGGAAAATTCACACTTTTTAAAAGAACCTATATACTCACCAGTTTCAGAAGTTCTCACCAGAAGTGGGAAAGATGACTGATTCCCATGGCCAAGTCTGGTGAACGCCCTTACAGAGATGTTGTAGAGAGTATATGGCTTCATTTCACTTAGTGATATACTTGTAGATGAGGCATTTTTAATAAATAAATCATTGGAATCACTGTACAGGACTTCATAGTGAGTTATGAGACCATTAGGCTGCTCAGGTGGTAACCATCTCAGATTTATTTCTGTTGCAGTTACATCTATTAACTCTACATTTTGGGGTGGGGAGTCTGGTTCTGCAATACAGAAATCAAAGAGAAAAAAAAAAGCCTCTGAGACTTTCAATTAATTGAATATAGGACCGATCTCATAAGTCTATTGGATACTAACATTTAGATTAGCTAACTGTACCAAAAGGGCTACACTCGCTCTCCTTCTGAAAGCCTTACCACTCCTTATCTCAGTTAATTTCGGTATGCCTTCTTTTCCACTCATAGAACCAGGCATCTTTTTGCATCTCAGACACCTTACCTTTTCTGGAATTTCTTTTCTCATCCACTTATAAATTTATCCAAAATGGCATTTATTAAGAAAAAAAATCTCTTCTGTCTACTGCTGCTAGGCAGACTAATCCTTCAAATCCTCTCACTGTCTTTCTCAAATTCAGGTTCTTTAAATTTAGCTGAATGACACCTTACTGTTTTCTTCTTAAATAACCACTCATCTTAGTCCACTCAATCAACCATTGAACCAAGAAAGGAACTGAATGCAATGTAACTAAATTCCCTTTAGGTTACCAATACAGCTGCTAATTGATGACCATGAAGACTCCAGTGTAAATCTCGCATGCACTGGTGTGAAGGTCATGTACAAAACAAGTCCAGCTCTCGGACAGTGTGTTGGCTAAATCTACTGGCAACATGTGAGTTCATGTGACTCCAGTGAACTAATAATGCATGGAAGTGTTGAAAGAGAGAGTGGGACGCACTTATGAATAAAATCAGCTCTGAATGTCAACCTTGATTCCTCTGAAGGCTTCATCACTTCACCCCTGAAATAATCTGTCTATGAAATTTTTTTTAAAAGCACTAAGAACCCAGGATTATGCCATTCAGTTTGTGTACAAATACCTTTATCCAGGTACTTCAGAATTTATCATTAATGTTTTTTGTCCTAAAGGTCTCTCTTTCATTCCTGATTTCTGAGTCTATGAATGTAAAGTGTTAACTGTAACAGATCACTACTCTCTGGATGACAAGACTGCCCACACGGATATTTCTCATGTGAAGAAGCTTAATTTTCAATTGAAATGCATTTTGCAATTTATCTGGCACAGTAAAACACTTAAATGCAGCAACCTAATATCTTCCATCCTAACATAAGTTATCTAAGACAGATGTGGTGAATCTTTTATTTGGAGGTATCTGTCTCTTCAAGAGTCACACAAGTTGTCACTCCTAGAGTGGCTAAACTCAGGATATATGAATTTCAACCTGAATAATCTCAGGAAAACTAAAGAACAAGAAGAAGATGAGTAATTACTCATAGCCTTATAAAAAGGCAGGAATTATTGATGGTTTTCTCAATAGTTTCCTCAAGGCTTGCACTCATCTCTTACCAATGGATGAACTGTTGGCCTGAAAGTCCACTCTGAACAAATTTCCATAACGCTCAAAGGCAAGGATTGTAAACTTTCAGAGAAAAAGATATTTAGATAGGTAATTTTCTGTCCTTGTGATATGCCTTTCCTCTGCAAAAAACTAATAGCATAGAAGCATGCAACCTTCAAGAAAATTGATGAGCACTTTAAGTTTCACTGTTTGATTTGAAATTTTGGTTGGTTACTCAAATCATCTGAACTTCATAAATCCCCATGATTTTGAACTCTGTAATCCTTTGCTCTCTTTTTTTCTCACTTAATTATTTTTCCTGTATTGTAGGTATTTGGCAATGACAGCGATAAATGACAACTGGACAATTATCTTCCTTATTACTTTGGTAAAAACTGGATATAACTTTGCTGCAACCAGTGAAAATATAAACTTGATACAAATGGAAAAGACTAAGGTTTAATACTCATGAGTGTGCTCTGTAAATCAAATTCCTGTGTTCTTTGTTTGCAGAGGCCAATGGCAACTCCAGCTACTGCCCTTGTGCCTTCAGGGGTGGAGACTGCCCTGCAAGCAAGCAAGAAGATCCAGAAATCTTCATAAAGTAGTATTATACTCTACATTAAAACTATTGATCAGTCTTAAAATGAACAAAGCCCCAAACCTGTACAAAAACAACTGCATATATCATCATTCAGTGTAAAAAAACCTCACTTAGCAGCATCTTTGCTTATAGACAGCAATATAGTCTCTGAATTTTTGAAAGCTGCCATTTCTGGGTGCTTCAAAACCAACCTAATTTCCACATGATAACATTTAAAAAAAAAAACAAAAAAACCCAAAACCATAAGCTGGAATCCCAAAGACAATTGATTATGGTTTAGATGGGGTCCAGGGACACATTTTTTTCAGTGAAGGAACCTCAGCTCTGCAGCTTTCTTCCCACTTGCCTATGACAGTTGAAATTAGTTGATTGCTTGTCATGCTGCAGCTTTCATTGTTATTTCTAGCACTTACGTAAAAATGGGCTGAATGAAGTCAGTGACTGATAGAAGACTAATAATTTCAATAAACATTGATTTTATTTGTACACTTTCTTCCCCTTCTTATGTATGTGACCAGTTTTCTTGAAGAAGCACAAACTTCAATACAGAAATCAAATCATCATTGCAAATCATCATTGTATTTACCATCTTCAGGGGTTCTCACGAAAACATCATTCTCTTCAGACAAAGCACTTTCTCCAATTGTGGTAGAGGCTGCCACTCTCATTTTATAATTTGTGTACTTTTTTAAACCTAAAAAGATTAAGTAAAAAAATCTTGTCTGTTGACTTCTTAAACATAATTTTTCCTCATAGCTACTCATAAAACTATAAAAACGGTTACTGTTTTAAGAGTTTTTGAACTAGGTCATTTGTCACCTAAAAGACAGAATATGTATAATCCGACTTATCTGGGGAGAGCCAAATAAGCACTCACTCAAATCAACAGATTTTGAAATGTCAACGAGCTTCAACTCTGTAAATAGCTTTAAGAATTTGTTTGTCAAATCAAAGGACGTGCATGTGGACATCCAAACATGTGTTTTTCTTCTATATGCAGTACTCTGATTAGCATAAATAAACGCCTGAAACCCCATGAGGAATCATCAAAATGACCACCTTAAAAGAAGAAAACTATTATTAATGTCAGACAAAAACTGTGAAAAAAATTCAAGTCTGAAAAAGAATTGACAATTTAGGAATATTTTCCTATGTGGAAAGAAGAGGCTGAGGAAAAAGTTCCAAGAAGAAATCCATTTCACAAATTACTAAGTACATTTCACAAATTATTGCTCATCTTATCTTGTCCTGTCCTCCCATCTCA